ATGTACTGCTAGCTGGAGAATTCTGAAATACTGAACATTAACTTAAAAAAATAAAATATTAGAGTTGATTAATATTGATCTATCTTTAGGGAGAAATGAAAAGTGGCCACCCAGTTTGTTTTAATTGTCACTGAGGTTGGATGGAAGTGTTAGTTTGCTTTACCCAACTTAGGTCTCAAATAAACCAAAAGAAAATCAATTAAAGAAAACCCAGAAGCCCTTCAAGGGTCTGGCCTTGTAGACCTGCATGTCTCCCTTTACACACACCACACAGCACAAGCCTCCGCCAAGAACATCCGTGTGTGTCCATGTGTCACAGTAAATCACTTCAGCTTTTCCACCCAGGCTGGGAAGAAAAGAACAAAGAGCCAGAGCCAAGAGGGCAGCTCTTGGGGGTGGGGAGTGTCTCTCGAGGCCACAAAGAAGGCAAGGAAGTGCTGTGGTCAGGCAGCAGTGAGGTAGCAGGCCATCCTCCCTGAGGGGACGGTTGGAGGCCCGCCCCGAGACTGCCTAGAAAGCACGGACTGAGAACATCCACCAAGAGAAACGGCTTCAAAATGATGACCCCTTGAAGGAACCATGAATTTCTTTAATCAACTGATTTCCTCTGGTGTCTAAAACGCCTCATTTAACAAGGCTTGTTCTGGGCTGAAACTGAATAGATGTAATTGACAAATGCTTGAATTTGGGTTCCACTCTGGGGGCAGGGAAAACACTTCTCTGTTGGCTTTTCCAGAGCAATTATAGGAAGGGGGTAAAGACATTGGAAGGGTTCTTGCGATTCAATTTGGACACAGGTCCTGACTTTCCTCCTGACCTCCCAACCCCCACTCCACGGAGCACACAGTCTGAGACAATGGCCAGATCTGGTTTGCTTTCTCCCCAGAGAGGCCCTGGGGCCACAGATGAAGCAGCTGTCAGGCTAGCAGGCTATAATCAGCTTTAACTGGCTCACAGCCCACAGAAAGACCAGACAGATTCTTATTCCAACAGTCCCAGGTGGGGCTGACAGCCCTGGGATGGGGAGGGACCTCAGGGGCTTCTGTCCCAAGCATCTTCCTTACCAGGGATCCAAATGACAAACTTACAATTGTAGGTCTCCAGGATGTCAATACACACAGGGAGGGATGTTTTAGCACTTTGGATCATGGCTTCAGCTACATGTCACGTGTCACCCCCAGAATGATTTATAAGGACAGTAAATCAATGAGACAGTGAACAAAACGTTAAAACACAACTCAAAATGGGTTTTTCAGGTGAGCCAATACTACAAGACTGCTAGTTAAGTACAGTACCCCTTTTCTCAGCCCCAGTGTGATTTCTCCTTTCTTTCCAATGCCTTGTAGCTTGGACACTAAGATGCCAAGTGGATGGTATTGAGGACACAGGTGGCCAAAGATAGAGGATCTCTATGCAGTTGGGCTGTTTCAGTGTGACAACTGACCCTTCCCATGGCCCCAGGCTTCTATTGTTATAAGATATGGGCTACATGAGATTAGAGTCACCATATCTATACCACAAAAAGGGGAAAGGAAAAGAGGGCGAGAGAGAGGAAAGAAAAAAAGGAAAGTAAAAGAAAAGGCATTCACTCAAATCTTACAATGGGAGGTGGGGGTGGTGGGTGGGCGAGGTTGAGGACAGAGAAGCAAGGAGGTTCTAAACAGCAGGGAACGACAATAAATGGGAAAACAGCAAGAGAAAAAGCACACTAGGTTAATATAGGAAAACTAGTTCTTTATTGAGATTGTATATTAGTATTAGTGGATTCTGTGTGTAACAATGTCATCATGCACACGATACAAAAAAAAAAAAAGAAAAAAAAGAAAAAAAAAAAAGAAAGAAAAAGAAAAGGCTGGGCCCACCATGCTTCGGAAGGGTAACAGAACAAAAGCAGCGTACAATGAGCAGATGGCCGGGCTACACGACCACAGTACGGTTCAGCAGGGGAACGTCTCTAACCGAGCGTTGTACATTGTCAACTGGGGGATGTAAAAAAATACAGATCATGCTTTAGTTTTAGTACAAGAAAAGGTGAAAAGATACACAACCAAAAGGATATTTGATACATAAAAAATTACCCACAAAATAAGAACAGGAAGTAATTCAGCACAGCGGAACACGCTACCCCTGTTTAATGGAAAACCATTTTGCTGAGGTTTTTGTTTTCATTTGCGTTATTTTGTTTTTGTGCTTTTCTTTTTCTGTTCAGATTGCCAAAGAGCGCTCTGGGGAGGCTACTTATGACTGTTTTGGAAGGGCCCTCAAAGTAGGCGCCTTCTTCTTTTTCATGACTGCTGCTGTTCTTCGTTTTCAAGCAGGTCTGGCTGGCCAGGCAGCAGAGGGAGCCGGCTGTTAAAGGGGCAGCCCCGAGGGCCAGGGCAGATGTCCAAAGATGCTCTTGACATTGTACAATTAAACAATTAGGACCCTATGGCCACGGTGGCTGCCCTTAAACCAGGGACCTTGGTGCACCAGTTTTTTCAGAGGCTGAAATAGCAGCAACTGTCATTCTCATCAGAGATTTTCTTTTATATATTTAATAAATTTTGCCTCCAACTAAATTTTATGCCTGGGTGCTGCCAGGAGGCCAGCTGATGGTCACCCAGACAAGTGGAAAATGGGCTGCTACAGCCTCCAAGCCAAGGCAAAAGGAATCCACTTAACAGGGATTTACAGTGCAATGTACTCAGCTAAACAAGATGAAGATACAAAAATGGTTATTTCTCTACATCTATTCTGGAATGGCCTACACTACTACAATGGAAACTAAAAGAACAGGCTTAAGCTAGCAGACTATCTAATAGTTTTACAAGAAAATTGTGGTTTAGGACCTTTGAATTAAGCATTAGTATCCTCTATCAGAAGGTCATGAGCTCTTAGCACATTGTGCTGAATTTTACTCACAGCCCAACTCACCCCTCAGACCCTAAAATTTCCAGTGGGTGTGTTTACCGTGAAAGTTTGCCATTGCAATTCTGACGGGGCAGAATTGGTTTTGTTGGTGGAGGGGAGGGTTATTAAAAATAAATTTTAAAGGCAGCTGAACAATTTGAATTTCAAAACCTGGAACCAGCATGCTGCAATGGTATTTAGAGATTGGTGGTATTAATGAGGATGATAATGATTTAATCAGGATAATTATACTTTCAGGCTCAACACCCTTCTTAATCATTTTTGAATTTCTGCCGAGTGTAATGTTCCACACCCGTTTTAAGAGGAAATGCCAAGTAATAAGAGATAATTGTGTATTGGGGAGGTGGGGTGGCATTTCATGATCTAGCCTGACCTCCTCCTCGCCCCCAACCATCACCACACTGGCCTGAGATAGGGGATACTGCCGCTTAAATAGCAATGCCTTCCTCGGATGGAGACAGGAAATGGTTAAGAGGGTGTCACAATACAGCTAAATGCGGAGGCAGAAGGGTCACAGCGCACACAGCAGCGAGTTGACCATTCACTGAGCTACACAATGAAGAAAAAAAAAGATTTGATAAATGCAGAATGTCATCATTCTATCATCACACACAAAAAAAAACTGCAGTTCAAACAGGCCTACGGGACCAACCTTGCCTTTAGGTTTCTGGGGAGAGGCGCGGGGTTGGGGACAGTTTGAATAAAAGAGGGCTGGGCTTTCCTAGCCTGGTGCAGTCTGGCCCCTGGGGCGCACTAAAGCGCTGGCTCTACGACCCCCTCCCCCGCTCTGACTCGGAAGACCAGAGGGGATCCGCGAAGGAAAGACATCATTCTTGGAGAGGGAGGGGGTGCTCAGCCAGTGGGAATTTATGCAAACGTGGAGTGGGAGAGAAGAAACATTTCCAAGAGAAATGTGAGTCCAGAGGCAGAATACAAAAAGAAGGGAAAAAAATGAATTGATGTATCTCAGATTTGCTTTGGGTGGTGGGAATTTTGATTAAAAGAAAATGGAAGAAATGTGGAGTGGGGGGAAGATAGGGGGAAACCAAGCTATTGTTGCAGGGGAATGTAAGGAAAAGGGGGTGTGGGAAAAGGGACCGTGCAAACACACCCCATATACCACAGTTAAAAACAAAGACATCGCCAGCCTGCTGCTTGGTCAACCCCTGCCCCGGGCTAAGGCCTGGCGTGGGGCAGCTTCCCACCTCATCCTCACTCACAGCTCAACACCCAAGAAACAGACAACCCTCTCCGGACGGGCCCAGGGGTGCAAGGCAGCGCACGTCTGATTTCCGAAGCGCGTAAGCACGCGCGCACACATGTATACATGCATACACACACAGACACATGCACACGCATACATACAAGCATTTTGAACCTGTAACTGCAACTGTCATACAAAGACAGTTGCGGGGAGGGAGGTATGCAGGGCCACAGAATAAGGGCAATGGAAAAAAAGGATTAAATGAGAGAAAAGGAAGGGACAAGAAGGTGTAAGTACCCATGAGAGGGAAGAGCTTGGAGCATGGGATACGGCTGATCCCAGCTCACTGGCCATTGGCCTTAAGGCTCCCAAAATAAAAATTACAAAACAGAACGAAATACACATATGCCCTTTAAAAAAAAAAAGGAAATCACAGAAAATTAAATCTATTCACCACCACCACCACCCTCTCTCTCTCTCTCTCTCTCTCTCTCTCTCTCTCTCTCTCACTGCACGCACACACACACACACACACACACACACACACACACAGCATGCATCTCCCTTCGGTCACACAGGGCTAGGTAGGGGAAGGGGCTGTGATTTGCAGGAACCACGTCCGCCGCAAATAATAATAAAAAATATGGGGCTGGGGAAGAAGGGACCCAAATTCACCAAACCCTAACTTCACTATAAAAGCTCCCGCGAGGGTGCCACCCCACACTCGGGGGTCTCCCCAGAAGGGGGTGGGAAGTAGCACTGCTTGCCTCGCCCGGCGGCTGTGCCTGCGCCCCCGCCCGCCGCGCCCGCCCCCGCCCCCGCCCGGTGCCTGCGGCGATCCGCGCTCGGAAGGAAGCAGACCCCCGAAAGGAAAAAGCGATACCTCTGTTTCGCACAGAGCCAAACACTGGAAGCACGAGATAGCCGACGTGGACCAGGACCATCCTGGCTCCTCGCGCGGCGGCGGCGGCGGCGGCTGCGCGCGGGCCCTTTGTGGCGCGGCTCCGGGGCACGGGCGGCGGGGCTGCGGGAGCCGCCGGGGTGGGAGGCGGAGCGCGGGGCGCAGGCGGCGGGGCGGCGGCTGGCGGGGAGACAGATGGCCCATGGAAAGGCTCCCTTCCCGGCCCCTCTCGACATTCAAAGGCGCTGGGGCCGCAGCTGCCGCCACACAAAGGCGCGCGCAGCCAATGGGAGCGGAGCGCAGCGCGGCGCGGCCTCGCCGGAACCGCGGGGGACAGCGGGGACCGCGGGCGCGCGGGGCGGGGGAGGAGGTGACGGCTAGAGGAGCGGGCGGCCAATCGCGGGGCCCGCTGCGGTGCGCGCGGGGGAGGGGGGACGGCCGCGGGGCGCGTGGAGCCTGGCGCGGTCCTCCGGCCGCAGCGCACGGCGCTCTGCACACACACACACACACACACACACACACACACACACACACACACGGGCTGCGTGCACACGGAGCATGCACACGCCGGGAGACGTGCTTTCGGACATGTGGAGGTGCGTTCGTCAGCGCCGTGACAGGCAGCGAGTGCACACGACCCAGAGGTCCCCGGGCACCGCACACGGGTCACTCGGGGACGTGCGCACAGAGGCTGGCGCACGTGCAGAGCCTGACTGCAGGCGCAAGTGAAGCTGGAAAGCCAGCAAGCAGCCTCAAACAGCACCCGGGTACTGCCGCACAGACACATTTGCACACAACAACGAACAAATGCCTTGTGAAAGCAGGATGCGTGCCGAAAACGCATTCCCAAAGACACACAGATGGGGACACACAATGCAGTCGCGGGTAAGACTGCACACTCCTAGCTCTCTGCCCGACACACTGCAATCTTGCTCTTGCAGAGCATAAAGCTCCCCAAAATTTGCTTAACTGAAAAGCACACATTCCCTGAGATGTGCACACGACCACTGCAATAACACACTGTCCAGAAACCCAAGCTGCCTTCACCCTTCACCTGCTCTGGCTCCGGCATCTCCAGCCATTTCACAGGCACGCCCACTTCCACATTCACAGGCAAATAGGTGCAGATTTGCACGTGGAAGCCCAGGTACCATGTCACGTGTGACCCTTGGCCAGCCAGCTAGATATGTGGAGATCAAAACACCTTCTAAAACTCTGTAGACAGAGTAGACAGCCCAGACTGCCTCCAGCACATTTGGCCTACCTGGTAGAAAGACAGAGTGAAGGCTTCCCAGTCCATATCAAAGCCAGTGACTACTTTAATTCATCTAGTATGGACTAGCTGGGAAACCACATATGCAAGTGGAAGGAATCTCACCCCACTCAGGACATCCATCTGTGCTCAGTCACGGCACTGAGAGCTGGTGCACACAAGCTTGAGAACTACACAAGCCCAGAATGCCTCAGTAGTGCCAAGAGGAAATCCCATTGAGCCTCACTACCACCGCGAGCCACAGACGCGCCACCGGGTGCATGCTCTGAAAGGGAGGTAGCTACCCTGGAGAGGGGTAGGAGCTAGCGGAGCAGTTGAAAGGACTCCAGCAAAATGTCCTCGGACATTCCTGAGACTGGCGAGCCCCAGCGAACTGCGGATGAAGGCAATCAGGGAAACCTAGCAAAGCCCCATGCCCCGCCCTCACGTAATCACCTCAAGCGAGCCTGCCAGCCATTCTGTCCTGTTTTGTTATCTGTTAAACATGCCACCACTAAAAAAGTCCAAGAACAAAGACTTTAACCAACCCCGAACTACAAGAATTTCCTCTGTCCTCCTCCAGGCCTTGCCTGCCACGTGCACGTGCAAATGTTCCCGCTGTTGTCATAATCTACATATTTTTACATTTAAACACGTGGCTCATTTTCCTGCCCTTTAATAGTCCAGCTAGTGAGTGTGGTACGAAATTACTTAGTCATGAGTTACTTAGGCTACTGACTCGTTCCCAGTTTTCCATTATTATAGAACATGGCCCCCTGCATTGGCTGAACCATAAACTGACTAAACTCCTGGGCCCGGCATTCTTTAGTCCTAGAAGGCAAGGTTTTGCAGATCTTGCCATATACTGCGTTAAAAAAATAATAAAACCTACTCGTCAGTACTACAACAACATACATTATGTCCGCTCCAATGTCAAGTTGCTAGCCTTAGGGAGGCATTTTATTTTTAATCACACATTCAGTTACAGCAGCTCACAGGGTTTCTTATTATCTAGTTCAGTCTTGGCATCAGTGTGGTAAGAGTGCAAACTCTGACACCAGATTGCCTGCCTGGCTTCCCAACCTGACTCTGACAAATTTTCAACCCTAGGTCTGGAAAATGGGGGTAAAGACGGCAGCTTTACCCTAGAATTAATCTGAGCGAGTGTATTGGGGGCCAGGAGAGTACACAGGCTTTTCTCCAACCTGTCCTTCTCTCCTGACCCATCACCTTCTTCCATCCAGTACCACTTATGACTGCCTGTTTAATGCATTCAGGGTCCAGCAGACAAAAGTAATCAATGACAGAGCAGCAATCATGACTACACCTAAGAACTGCAAACTTTGAATTCAAGCACCAAGTGCCCACTGCTCCTTATACCAACATCCACCACAGCACAGGTCTGTGAAGAAGGAACTATTGTGGAGTAGGAAGAGGAGTTTCAATGTTAACGAAACCTTGACCCAGCATCTAATAGTTCTCAGCCTCAATATACCCAAGTGTCTAAATGGGCACAATATCTCCTGCCACACATCTACATCATCATGGGTTTGCCATGAGGAGTAACTGAAAATAATGCAGAGAAATACAAAAGCATAAATGCAATAGGGGCTCCAAGAATGAAGCGTGGTTGTTATTTTGCCCACATAGGCTTTACAGATGAGGAAACGGGCTCAGAGACAGAGTGTGAACAAGGCAGCCATCATTCCAGGCTGAGTTAGAGCCTGAATCCATAGCTCCTTAGGTAGAGTCTAGGTATAACTCATTTCTCTCTCGTTTTTAAACCCATAATGTTGGGATAAGTGTTTTCAACTCTCCCTCCCATTAGTTAAAATCTACTGAAAGTCCACTAAAGCATATTCCCATTATGAAATGGTTCTGTGGACATTTTCTACTTCTTGAGGAAAGGCGGTAGCTTCTTCACAGATTGTTTCCGTCCATTGCCCAAAGTCATGCACTGCTTGCTTGCAGGCTTAGCGTGAGTCTCAACAAGTCTACGAAACAAACAGTGAAGGCCCGTTTGTACTTGCTGAGCTAAGACGGAAAACATGGTCCTTTAGAGTCAGCAGTGTCAGGGACAGGGGTCCAGCCCAGTGGCAAAGCCCCTCCCTGACATGCATGTGATCCTAAAGCCAATCCCCATGACAGCAAAAACAAATAAATGAGGGCTGGAGAGAGAAGGCTCTGGTTAAGGGCATGTGCTGCTCTTCCAGAGGACTTGGGTTTGATTACCAGAGCTCACCTGGTGCCTCACAACACTCTGTCATCTGAGATTGATTCCCTCTTCTGGCCTCTGCAGGCACCCGACATGCACGTGGTACACAGACTTACATGCAAGCAAAATACCCATACACATAAAATTAATTAACTAATTTATAGAGAAAAGGCAGAGATTGAACAGAGTCAATGCTATCTTTTGTCCCAGACCCACACTTCCAGTCCTCTCTTCCTGCTCCACTGTGGCCACCCACGGAAAAAAAAAAATTTTCTACAGCTCAACATGTTTCTGGAGCCTAGAGCATCTGTTTTGAGAACAGCCTCAGAGCCTGTTCGGTTTGGATACAAAATATTCCCAGTGGCTCATGTGTTGAGGTTTGGTCTTCAGCTGGGGGAGTTACTGAGCAGTAATTGAACAAAGGCATTTCCTAATCAATAGATTAATCTGTAGCTGTGTGCACTATTAAAAGGAGGGGTCTAGGGGGAGGGAGACTATTGCAAGGGTGAACCTGGCCCCTGGCCCCTTCCTCTCGGTTTGCTTTCTGGATACTGTGAGGCGATCCCCACTACTCTACCCCTCCACGCTCATCACCATGATGTCCGTCTTATTCTGGGCCCTAAAGCACTGCAGCCAGAATTGATCTTTGGTTGGTTTTCTCAAGTATTTTTCACAGAGATGCAAAGCTAACACAGAGCCCAGCACTGATCCAAGCTGTGAACAATCGTTGCTCTTGAATCCACAGATGAAAACAGTCCACCACAGGAGTCAAGGAGATAGAAAAATGTCCGAGCCTAATGATGAAAAATCCCCTCCTCATCTCCATGCCGTGCTGGTATCAAAGTCTGCGCAAAGCAGTGGTTCTTCTCTGAGTGAACACTCCCCCACCCCCCAGACTGGTGCCTCCGTGTTGAGCATGATTGGGCTTACAGAGGCAGTCAGCTGCAGAAAGTGCCTCAATTTCTGAGGGTCAGGCCATAAACTCAAGAATCTCCAGGCAGTGGTGATGCATGCCTTTAATCCCAGTTCTTGGGAGGCAGAGGCAGGCGGATTTCAGTATGTGTGAGGCCAGCCTGGTCTACAAAGCAAGTTCCAGGACCGTCAGGGCTATGTGAAGAAAAGAAAAAGAAGTGGTCAAGAAGAACCTCTCACACAGGCCAGGGAGAGGGTGTGGTGGGATTGAATAATCAAGAAATTCTCTTAGTGGGTCAGGCTGAGATGAAGACCTTAAAGTTTGGATCCATCTGAACAGGCTGAGAAGCTTGATTTGACACTGGGGACAAGTCTCAGAAGGAATTTCAAAGAAAGAAAGAGGAGGTGCTGGCGGGTGGTGGGGGGAGCCCGGGGAGGAAGGCGAGGGAGGTGGAGGGGACCCTCAGCCATTTGGGATGTAGCTCTGTGTGCAGGCTGATCTGATAGGCTGGGCTGAGCTACGCGTAAGAACAGACGGGACCGGACTCCCCATTCGTACTCTGCAGGCAGTCACAGCAGAGCTTGGGTGCCAGCAAATGCTGGAGCAGAATGAGGTAGTTCCGCTCTAGCCAAGTCCCCACATGTACAGTGCCCCTCTCCAGTGCCACAGGGAAATGATCCTAGCCCCTGACTGTCCTAGCAGTGAAACTCAGAGATGTCGTGGGGTGGATTTCTCAGAGGACACCGCTCCTTCTAGAGAGAGGCTAGAACCTTCCCTTTCCTCTCCTGACTGCAGGCTGCTAAGATGTGAATTTAATAGGAAATAATGAAGAAGGAATTTATAGTGTCACCCACATGACATCATACTTCCAGGCAGTTACCTCGATTGACTGCCATTATCAGCAAAAGAAAGGCAATGGGACATCGTGTCACTGCTCAAAAACAGTTACCAGCTGAGGACACACCACCACCTTAGTCTTTCCAGAAAGTGGATCAGAAAGTTTGATCAGAAAG